TCATCTTGAACTTAACTTTTCTAATCCCTTTTACTTGAATAGATTATAAATTATAATGGAAAATAAAGGGAGCAATAGGAAAAAAAATAATGTTTTCATTCTTTAAACCAAACAAACAAATATCAACCAGTAGTGAACAACCTCCTTTCAAATCTCAAAGAGTTGAAATTGAAGTTAATACTCTTGAACGAGATCCTGAGTTACGAACTTCAGTGTGGAAACATTCTATCAATCAACAAGATGAAATTAGAAAAGCTTATATCAAAATGGGTCTATATCAACCTCAGTTAACAAAGTATCCAATGACTGAATCGGGGAGATGGTATTGTCGATTTCAATACACTTGGTTTGATCAATTTTCTTGGCTAGAGTACTTGCCATCAAAGGATGTAGTATTTTATTTTTCATGCTTTATCTTTGAAAACAAAGTGTCTTGTCATCTCACATTTACCATCAAAGGCTTTAAAAGTTGGAAGAGGGTTAATTATAGGGTTAGATGTGCACTTTTGATGTATGTGGAAAGTCCCACTTCACCACATAATAATGCTATAAAATTTGCTAAAGAAAGTATTTGAATGCACAAACTATTGAAAAAGTTTGGAAAAATCGGTTGAGACTTACGGCAACAATTGAAAGTGTTCGATGGCTTAGCTTACAAGCATGTGCATTTGAAGGTAATGATGAATCTTTAGCTTCTAATAATTGAGGTAATTTTGTGGAGATGATAAGACTTATAGGGAGTTTGAATGTTGACATTGATAATATTATCTTAGAAAAAACTCCAAAAAATACAAAGTATACCTCATTAACTATTCAAAAAGAGATTTTGCATATTCTCGCGAACAAAGTAAGGAAAAAGATTTGGGAAGAAGTTAGAGATGCAAAGTTTTGAATTTTGATTGACAAAGCCAAAGATGCATCAAATAAAGAATAAATGGCTATTATTTTAAGATTTGTTGACATTCAGGGTTTAATTTGTATGAGAATTTTTATTGGTATTATGCATGTTTCAGATACTACTTCTTCAACACTTAAAAAAAAAAAATTGTGATGTGCTCACTCGATATAACTTGCATATTCTCAATATACGAGGTCAAGGGTATGATGGTGATTACAATATATATGGCGCATGGAATGAACTATAAACTTTATTTCTCAGAGATTGTCCTTATACATATTATGTGCATTGCTTTGCTCACCGACTATAGCTAACATTAGTTGCAGCAGCTAGAAATGAGATTTCTATTTGGTTATTTTTCTTAAAATTGACAATCATTATTAATCTTATTAGTGCTTCTCTCAAATGTCATACCGAGTTATATTATGTTCAGGTTATAGAAATTGCACATATGGTAGCTATTAGAGAACATGAGACAGATAGAAAGGCTAATCAAATTGGTAATTTACATCGAAATAGAACTACTCACTAAAGCTCTCATTTTGATTTTATTTGCATCTTAATAGATATAAATGGTGCAACTATTACTGTGCTTGAAAGTATGGTTCAAGAAGGATTTTCTAACTCTCTACGTGGAGAAGATGGCGATTGTTTGATTGTAATGAAATCTTTTAAATTTATATTCATCTTATATTTGATGCATAAAATAATGGGGATTGCTCAGTTTCTTTGTCGAGCTTTGCAGAAAAAATCTATTGACATCTTATATGCAATGGATCTTGTATCAACTACTAAAGCATTGCTTCAAACTTTGAAAGATGTCGAATTTGATCTTTTCTTTGCAAATTTCCAATCTGTTTACACAAAATATGAAATTCACATACCACATATAAATGCTTCGTATAAAAAGGCTACAGGTTGTTCATATCAACAACAAGGTTCAGTGATAGTTAACCAGCATTATCATTATGATATATTCAACTTAATAATAGATTTTCAGTTGAAAGAATTAAATTCTAGATTCAGTGATGGGACAATGAAACTCCTTGTACTTAGCTATGCTTTAAAACCTCAAGACAACTTTAAATCATTCAAAGCTAATGCTAAAGCTTGCTGATATTTTATCCTGAAGATTTCAATGAACAAAAGATGTATTATTTGAGATCTTAGCTGGAGCATTATCAGATTGATGTGATTTATCATGAGAGCTTTCAGAACATGTCTACCATTTCTGAATTATATAGAGGATTAGTTGAAACAAATAAGTCACAGCACTATCATTTGATTGACAGGTTGATTCGTCTTGTTTTGACTTTACCTGTTTCCACTACCACTACAGAGCGGATATTTTCATCTATGAAAGATGTTAACATCGTGCTTCGCAATAAAACAAAAGAGGAGTTCTTTGTAGATTTTATGATGATTTACATTAAACAAGAGCTTGTTGAAGATATTGGTTTGAATTCGAACATAAATAAATTATATTCTACACAACATCAAAAGATGCAACTTTGATAGTATAATTTATTTTTATTTTGAATTTTATATACTGTAAATTTTATTTTATTTGTATATTTTGTGTTATATATTTGAATTAAAACCTTATTGTTATTTTGATAAATTTATATATTTGAGTGAATAATTAATTTTAAAAAATAATTTTTATTTATTTATATCATACCCTAGAACATTGAAAATTCCTACTACGCCCCTACCAGTAACGAAAGAAGAATCAAGAACAAAATAAAAGTAAAAATGCTGATAAGATATGGGAGAACATTCCAAGCTCCAAGCATTGGCTTTGATAGACCAGAGACACAACGAAGAGGCAAGAGACGAAGATGAAAGGAGGACGTTGCGACTTCCATGAGAGAGGAAGGCAGACCGGAGTGGGAGATCGCGAGAGAGAAGAGACGATCTGGTAGTGTGTTTAGGGTGGCTGAGGTTTTTTTAATTGGTTTTTTTAATTGGTTTTCTTAGTTGTTTTTTTTTTTTTGGTTCAGTTTTTTCAATCCTTTTTTTTTTCGATTTTCTTGGTTTTTTATTGCTACGGACCTCCATATTTATAATTAAGAGATGACATAAGTGACTTCGTGTTACTAATCCTGATAATTAAAACTAGGTATAATCTTCCAAACAACACTTAGTGCTCCTATCCAAGAGAATCCATTCCATTTATATGATGATCACTTGTCAATTCGATTCCAAATAATTTTTGTTTTCGGAAATAAGCATTACCACCACTAGAAGGAAACTTCTGCCTTCACTTTTCTTTTTCTTTTTCTTAATAGTAAGAACTGTGGAAGATACTGATGCTGCCATTGCTAACTCATAGGACACTCACAAAAACAAAGCAATGCATAATATATAGCATGGCCGTATAGTGATCACGGCTTAACCCTATTTTTGGAAATTAAAAAAATGAAAAAGAAATGAAGGAAAGGACGAAAGGACGAAAGGTGCGGTCATCAAATGTGGAGCGATGGAAGTGGTCGCAGCATATCCTTTGGAAGATGCTGCCATTGCTAACCCATAGGAGAAGGAACCCACGTTCAGTGTCCCTTTACCTCTCGTATAAAATGATCTCTCCCCTTCTTTCTCTTCTCCAGCACCATACCTTAGCATAATATCTAGAGTGAGCTACGTGCTTGAAGATGCTCGTCGCTAGTTCTTTCTCTTAGCATGAGTGCCAATCCCGCCATGCACCCTCACCGTACGGCATGGTGGGCGGTGGCTGAGCATACAAGGTTACGGATTGTTACAGTACTGGGTTAAAAACTTGGGAGAGAGCCAATTTCTCTCACAGGGCAACCTCAATCCTTTGGCATTTTCACTTGGAGAGGATCTCGATCTATCGTTTGCTTGTTCTTGTTTCTATCCTTAATTTAGTTAAATATGTAAGGAAACTATGGTGCCGTTATGTGGGCTTTTCTTCCTCTCTTTTTTCATGTGGGAGTGTTTATTTATTAAATAACTAGCACTGCATCTAATATCTATATTAGAAGTAGTGACCATATTGCAGGATTCTTGCAACATCAATTGTATTGTGAACTTCCATGATGTCCAAGCTCAAGCTTAACGTTTGAAGCATGCGTGTCTTTTGTTTCTTTTTGTGTTCATCTAACGTCAGGTCAAGTTTTCCTGCAGTGATTAATTTTAGCTGGTCGACTGTGGCTCCAATTTCCAATTACCCCTTCATTCTCTAGTAAAAATGCAACTCAAAAAATAATTTTTTAAAATATATAGTTTTTTTAAATGACTGAGTCATTATATTCTTAATGTAATCCATATAAATCCTAATAGGGTTTCTCTCATATCAATAAAAATATTAATTGTAGTCGATTTGAACTTCAATATATAGTATTCCTTAGTAAGTTACTTAGTTGGAGTCCATTTAAATTTCATTAGGATTCCTTTAACTTAGTAAGTTAATTAATAATTATAAGTATATATATATATATATATATATATATATATATATATATATATATTGTGTGTGTGTGTATTAAAATTTAAATGTAAAAAGAAAAAGAAAATTTTCCCTATGCTTATAACCTCTCCACTCCACTAACTAATGTGAGAAAAACCCCAGCTATCTCCTCCGCACATTCAACCTTGGGTTGGAGCCGCAACAACCCATTTCTTGCCCTAGCTATAGGGTCTGAACTTGTTGGGAAATCTAGGCTCTAATTTCAATTATTAGGTCTTGGATTTATCTTTTCCTTGCACTTATAAACTTTATGGTTAGAAAATTATTTTTTTTTAGTTGCAACGTTAAAAATTAAATTTAATAGCATGTATTAATAAGATAGTTGTGGTAAATTTGAATCTCAACGGTAGATTAATTAATAATCATGAATAAGATTTTAAAAATATATATTACAACTTAAATGGATTATTATTGAGAATAAAATTACATTAGTTATTTAAAAAAAAAATTGTTCGGTGGTTTATTCCCTTTTCAGAAGTTAACTTATGAGGTGAGGTTTTTTTCCTCAATTATTTAAAAACAAATTGGAAACTCGTGCAGTGACCTTCTTGCCTTGCCTAAGGATCTCATGTGATACTTAGAATGTGATCATTTGGTGGGACAAGAACATGATAGAGCTAAATTTCTCCCTTCATCTCAAGAAATTTCGAATCAGCCTTGACTAAAAACATCACCATCCAAGTATTGTATGAGCAAGATGTACTTTACCCCATTTTCATCCCCAACTAAAAGGAATGCATACAGCATACATCAAAATTTCATGAATAATTCTCCCGTGTCTGGCACGTTGAAATTTACAAGTTCTAAAGGAAAGGAAAACGAAAGCTTCCAGCAGATTCGCATAAGAACCTGGCCTCTTAACTGCGCTTGAAAATTAGCTGAAGATGGTTGCGATTTGAGAAGTGATCTATTTATGCGGCTGAATTGGTCAACTGTTTGGCTGGTATGATTTGTTGTGGCTGCAGGCACAAAGGAAGAAAAGTGGAATCAGCTGAGAACACCTTAAGCATATATCAGGATAGAATTCAAGAAGATGAAAGGACCACGAAGAAGCTTATATCTAAACAATTGCCAAGACAAACCGAAAATGTGCAGTTTTAACCAAGAAAACCACCGTGCCCCAGGCCAATTTTCAATGATGAATGGGATTATATCAGCTTCTTACCGCTGCTAACTCCTTTTCATGCTTCGGAATGAAAGCGGTATCAACATTTCCATTTTTGAAGTCCTGTCAGCAAGAGGGGGCATATGAAAAGGCAACATAGATACAATCAGTTCAAGGTTCAAACAAAATGCATAGGGTTTTTTCAGTAAAATTCATAAATAAATTTGCAAATTATAGTTTTCCTAACCTCAATTTCAAGGATAAGTTTGTGGTAATCTATAGTCGTCGGAACTCCTGTATAGAGAAAGTGAGAGAGATTGATCAAAAATTAAAGAATATACAGATTCTAAGAACAAAAACAAATCACATCTGTGAGAAAAAATTAAGAGATGTGCTTGATTGACCGAAAAGCCACAAATGGCATGTCTACTCTGCTGCAATTAGCAGCAGACTGAAACAAATCAAAGGATAGTGGTAGTTTACAGCAACCCTATGTGGATAGCGGCTCACCAAACTAATCAAAGGATGAGCCTCAAAAGAGGTTTGCATTTGCATGCATCCAGATCAAAGAAAGAAAACCAAAAATGTGGTTTCAAAACTCACTCCCTAAACCCAATGTGCTCTTTCCATACAATCAATGCATGGCCACTATCTCAATTCAAGACTTAAAAACATGGGTACCAGTGCGGGGCACCTTTCAAATTCTTGGACACTTACCAGTAATAATAGTGTCATCAAGAGCCCTTTTCATTCGCTCAATTGCTTTTTCTCTTGTTGGCGCCCAGACAATAAGCTGCAATATGTTCCAAATGTCACAGTAATTAAAACCATATGATGAAGCCAATTGCTTTCAGTAGTTAGTTAAGCTGTCATGCATGGTAGCTTTAAACTGCAAACACAATGCATCCAAGTATCAACTACAAAATTGACATGGAGGGAAGGCTAATGTCTAAGGGAAAAAAAAAACACTCTTTGTTATGTCCCATGGATACACTTTTATCCTTGACAACAATAAAAAATTGAGAACGTCTAGCTTTAGCAGGAAATCCATCGAAATGATGTGTCTTCCAACTTGAACTATATTCTGAATTTTTTAATCCCTATGTTCCTTAGGACTCCAGTTAGAACTTTAACTTAACTCTAACTGCCTATGATGCCTTTAAAAATTTAGAAACAACTGATATTTAACCCAAACAACCACTTCAACAAACCTCATCTTCATGATTTAGATCTTTTGGTAGAATAATAATTCCCAATCTAGTGAAGCAAATGCTAGAGCATCCGGCACAAAAATGTGGGCCTGACAGAATCACATGAGCACAAGCTCAAGGAAATGAAACAGATTTCAGAGAAAGCAAACAAGTCTAACGATAGGACAATAATGGTTGGCTCAGATTTCATGTAGACAATCCAACAAAAAAGGTTTTTGAGCTAATGGGTGGAAACATCCACACAACTCATTTTACAAGTCTGTACCAAACTTTGTGCTTGGGCAGTATGGGGTTACATGATAAAAAATCTAGTGCTTTTCTGTCACCAGCATACAACTTCAAAAAGAAGAAGAAAATCAACTTAAATTGATTAACAAGGAACCTAAGCATCTAGAAGTAAATTTATCCAGATAGAATGTGGTGGGCACCATTCTAAGAGAAAGAAAGTGGCCAAACCAGAC